AAGCCCTTAGAGAACATCCCACTGGATATTCCACGGCTGCGTCCCCTGCCTCAAGCTAATCCCATGCTTGTAATTGCAAATCAGCTCCTCCTGGTCCACGCCGCAGTGCTTCTGCCCGTCCCTGCCGACGAACCAGCCCAGGCCGTACGTCTTGCCCTCGCCGAGCCGCTGCCTGAGCTGCGCCGACGAGAACTTTTCGGTGCCGACAAAGTCGTAGAGCATCTTGCTCTGGTGGATGTAGGCTAACACGGAGGCGATGGTGTTTGGCTGCCGCGGGAGGAAGGGGTGCCGCCGGCGGAGGAAGACGACGAGGGCGACGGCGATCATGTACAGCAGGATGAAGAGGGAGAGGGCGACGGAGACGTAAAAGGACTTGACCGTCTCGGTGCCCGAGTTGATCTCCCACGTCTTGTCCTCGTCGCTGTAGACGAGGAGGAAGTCGTGCCCGTCGACGGTGGCCAGGCCGGCGACGAGGACGGTGAGGAACTCGGCCATGACGCTGCCGAAGCCGACGGCGAAGACGAGCAGGTGGCCGTTGAGCAGGGCGCGGACGGGCATGTAGCCAAAGGGGAGAGCGGTGTAGTCGAGGAGGAGAGTGTTGGCGGGCGCGTGCCGCCGCGAGAGGATGTAGTAGGGCTCCATCATGCGCACCGCCGTCTCCATGCCGCCCCAGGCCATCTTGAGGAGGACGGCGAGGACGGTGACGACCCAGGGCGCCCGGTCCGTCACGATGGTGGCCGGCGTGAAGAGGAAGACGGGGATGAAGCCGGTGAAGAGGCAGAGGCCGACCGTCATGGAGAGGATGCCCGCCGGGCGGAGCAGCACCGGGTGCGGGTTCGTCGGCAGGTCGACGTCCTCGGACCGCTCCTTGTCCCGAAGCATCACCGGGTTCGCGTCGTCGGGCGCCAGCGACGAGTTGCGCAGCACGTAGCGGTTGTACTTGAGCCGGTTGTGGATGTCGCCGTGCGGCGCCGTGTCCATGTCCTTGAAGTCCATAAGGATGTGGCTCACCACCGCCATCGAGGCTAGGCCCGCGATGCCCCGGACGTCGGACAGGAGGCCCGACTTGCGCGACTGCAGGAGGTAGAAGAGGATGCAGGCCAGGAGGGCGATGACGCCGAGCGTCGCCGTCAGGAGCCGCGACCAGACGGGGCTGAAGCCGAGCGTCTTGTAGCCCGACGGGTTGGCCATGCGCTCTGCCCGGCTCGGACTGAGCACCACCGCGGCGGCGGCAAACGTCGGCACCAGCGACACGGCCAGGATGGTCGCGATGGAGGACACCGCCACGGCGTAGTGCCCCCTTTTGAGGGCTCGGAACGGGCGGAAGAAGTTGAAGCTGGTCGCGTAGTCGATGTTGATGGAGTCGGACGCCGTCGCGCCCTCCTCCTTGGACAGCTGGTAAAAGGCCTCGAGGCGGCGCACCTCAAAGTCGGTAAACTGCCACAGCACGCCGTAGATGACGGCCAGCAGCGTGGGCGCGAACTTGATGACGAAGTAGACGCCCTGCTTCACCTGGTCCGGCGACGTGAACTTGACCAGCGGCTTCTCCTTGTACATCTGGAACAGCACCTCCTGCATGACGGCCAGGGCCAGCGAGACGACGACGAGGCCCGTCAGGTACGGCCACCGCATGGAGAAGGGCTTCCAGTTGGGCTGCGGGTAAAAGGTCTGCGTCGTCGTC